GTGTTAGCGCCGTTATTTTTCAGAAAAGATGTTCTGCGGAGATATCGACGAGTTTCTCTCTATTTTGAATTTTTGGAACCGTACACCTTTTACGAGTGTTTTTTTTTTCATAGGTTAACATTCAGACATGGATCTCGACGTCGACGATGAGGGCAGTGTAGATGGTTCGGAAAATATGGAAATCAGGAGCGACAGCCGCTCTTCACCGACCTTTTGTAGATGTGGCGCATACGACGAAATCATGGAGGCCACTAAGATACTACGAAACAGAACTATTGATGCGGTCAATAGTGAATTTGATCAGTTCGAAAAAGGACTGGCTTACCTGCTGCGTTCTTCGGTAAGGCTACCTCCGATAATTCATCTCGAAAGCTCACCAAAAGGCCTTTGCTTCTCGTGGCATAAAGACTATATTAGGTTGTTGAAATATGAATATCACTTCAATTCAGTTACCACGGGGATTCCTCCTGCCCATTGCATGCAAAGGTTGGGGAGCAATGTAAACCTTGAACGTCGTCCTTCTGTCCTACAATCTAATTTGATTACTTTTTTTTAGAGCGCGCCTTTATTCAGCAGAGCGGGTTTTTCTTCGACAATTTTATTTTCTTCCCAAAATGCTGGAACTGCTTGACGCTCGAGTATTGCGTTCCGTCTGAAGGCTTGTGGAAGCTGCGATTACTCAGGCAGGATGAACAACCGTTGAGTAATCGGAGTCGAAAATTTCAATTCACTTGCACTGAGAGAGTCGAAAATTCAATTCACTTATAATAAGAATTTATTATCTAAAAACAGTGCAGCTCAAGTTGGATTGGATATCATAGATACTCCAAAATTTCCTCTCTCTCACGAGTGAAATAACACCGCCAAGCCCCAGAGCTCCATAAAAATGAAACGAGTGACATCCATACTGCAACAGCCTAAAGCTGCTCCTTTCTTCAAGCTTTATAAAAGCTAGAAGACCAGTTCTTTACCGCCTCTGTTATAGAGAGACGCTCTCTGTCATGAGGATGATGGTGCAAGTACCAGCAGTCAGATGACGTTTGAAGAATCGAGGAACAGTCCAGCGTGCAGCTTTCAGAGTCAGTCGCACAGTTCTCAGCTCAGTTCTGAACGTTCTCCTTCCATTGATCTCATTGTTAATGACATCGTTGTCAATGCTTCATTGTTACTGTTGTCGAAACTCAAGTAAGATCTTGTTTTTCTTGTTGTATTAATCAAGGTGTTGTTGGTTGCTGTTATTTTGTTTCTGTTTGTAAAGTAAATAAACGGCTCATACTGTTCATCTAAAGTATATTTAAATGGGCTGTTGAAAGACCATAACTTGTCTACCACAAAAATCGTCTTCTTCCTACCTTTACCTCAATAAATGCTCTCAGGCCTTCGCGTTATCCAAACCTATGCTAGAGAAGAGGATAGACAGCTGCCTCTTATCTGCGGTGTCTAGTCAGTTGTCAGAGGAATGCACGCCAAGCAAACTAGTCTTCCTAACTTCTCAGGTTTTCGGCGGCGCCATTTGTAAGTTGTACATTTTTTCTTGAACACAGTTATAAGTCCAACTTTTCGATTTACTCGCATTGGAACTTTCCTTTGTCTTTTCGAATAGCCTACCGTACTAATCAGAGCTGCATTCTCTTTCAACCAAATTCTCTCTTCAGAAATCCATCTCTATTAAACTCTTGACTGCATTTTATAAACAATCTGTTAGAAACATCATTACCATCATTCGAAACACTTTTTTCGAATAACTCGGTGGTTTTCCTTCTGCCCCCTCCTCATGATCTTCTTGAAGTTCTGATAAGTTAGCTGAACGCCCGCTTGCTTTTGCTGTCGCTGTTCTGAGGGAGGGTTGTTTGTAGTGGGTTCATTTAGGTACTGGTTTATTGCACATTTATAACTGCAATGTCAGTTTCGGACGCGGTACGTTTCGGATCGGCCGATTTTCTTCTACCTGTCGAGTTGAGACAAATTTCGTAGAACAGTTCTTCTTAACACGTTCAGGACAGTCCACTCTCGGTCGCGTGGGACGGACGCGATTTTGTGGCCCCGCCTAACCTCACATCCGCAGATTTTGTATTTAAATGAACAAAAACATGAATGTCACAAAATAATTTCTGCAATGTCCAATGCGTAAAGATTATCTAAACATATAACAGTAGGATTTCGATCAGAACGACAAATAGTGGTTACGAAAAGAGAGCATTTATTCACTTCCCCCGTGAAGGAATTTAAAAGCATTTTACACTCGATTACGAGGTTTACCCACCTATTTACATCTACCGCTGCTGCGAGCGTCGATATCAGCTGGCAGCCCATATGGACTGCCACCGTCCCCGGAGCACATGCCTGTTGGCAGCCCATATTGACGGCCATCGGCGTGAATGTGTTGAACAACGTTGTAATCCGTAAAGGGAAACACTGGGAGTGAATCGTGCGTATGAGTAGGAAGCAAACTATTAGGGCGCACGCATAGTCGATTGTCCGAGAGCAACGATCGCAACTGTCTGACTGTCTGACTGCATCTAATCGCGAATATCAAGTATTCCGCAATCGATACCAATCCCATATGCTGTTGCTACAGTCATGACAATCGTTGCTGTCGTCCGACCGACTGTACGTGCGCCCTTAGTTCGGATGACTGGTGACAGTTTTCAGATTACAGTTTAAGCTGGATTTGCTGGATGTTCGAAAAGTCAAGCCATTAGGTGATCAATCTTTGCAATTCGTATACGTGCGGACAGTCGTCGTTGGCAATAATGCGCGGTCATATGCGACTCTGAAGGTTTATTCTGATCCCCACAAGATTGAGGAGGTCCTCTTCAATGCTTTTATCTTTCCCCTATCCTAAAATAGTCCCCAAGTGAAAAGCTGCTTTCATCTCCGTTTCGAGTCTTTTTTTTTCAGGCTCATTGAGCACCGCTGCTCACATGCATCAAGTTTGTCGGCGCAACTGATGAGCGTTTTTCTGGCCATCGCTGTCAGTTCCTTCCGACCGGAAGAATGGCGAATTGGTTACTGTTTCACTGAAAACCGCTGCCTTCCTGCTGAGTTCATTGAACGCTACTGTCCGTCAGATATTTGGAAGCATCCCCGTGAAACAGCTTTCAAAGCTGCTTCTGATAGCAACAAGGCGGAGGTAATACTTAAACGATGTTCTGTTGTTTTCTTTGTAAACAGCAAATTTGTCTATCAAATAAGTTTTAGAGTCTTCTTTTACGCAGCAATCGCGCTCTTCGTTTGTAAGTACTGGACTGCTTGGTCGAATTCTAAATTTCCTATGGCCTCGAGATCGCCTATCCCTCTGTGTAGAGCAGCTTCTGTCGAATAAGCGTTTTTCTCCGTAAGTTCACACTCATTTCTCAAGTCTAGACCTGTAGAAATGCTCGCTATATTTTTCCTTTTAGGGATGAAATTCTCCTCAATCAATTCCGTGCACGTGTTTGACATTCTAGACAGTGACTGGGTGTCTCTTGGGCCTTCCAGTTCCACTCTTGCAATCCCTTTTATAGCAGGAGCCTTGGCATGTTTAGACAGGTTTGGCTAGACTTATTTCTGATGCCGTTTACTGATTTTATGCTTCATGTGGTCATGGCTTATGCATATCGGCTGCTGACGGGGATTCATTACCTATAGTGGATCTGCCCTTGGGCTGCTCTCTGGTCGAGTGTGTCATTCGCTCATCTGTTCCCTTTTCTTCCAACGACTCCGAAACGTTCGAGCACATATTTGTCAGCTTTGCGAAGTTATTGCTAAAGGTTCCCTCTTTACTTGTTCCTGATCTGCTTCTTCTAGATTATATTGCTTTCATTGATCTGCCATATTTTTAATCTTTATTTCAGAGTTCAAAGAATCTTAACGCAGTTAATGCGATTAGTAAAAGCATTAGAAGGACTGTCGGTATGGATTGATTTCACCGCTTCAAAAGGGAGTCAGCTACCTTTTTCACTCTGGAATGCAGTCAGAGAATTGCTAACATTGCTGGAGCAACAAATAGAGCAGAGTGCGAAAGAGGTCACGGCCACTGCAAAGGCAGTTCCAATTGCTTCTCCGGAAGAACGTAAGCGCTTAATTTTGGGTAGATTCCATTTTTCCTGGACTTTTGCTTTAATTTCCAGCAACAAATGATGATACGGTGGCAGGGAACTGGCTTGAGTGTATTCTTGAACAGGTCCCGGCTATGCTCGATCATCAATCTGCTGTTCAGTCACAAATTGTATCAGAAATAGTGGAGGTAGGAGTCAGACGCTCTCTCATACCAGCTTAGGAAACATTTCGAGTTTCTTGCTTGAGTGTCCCTACTCGGAAAAGGACTGAAATTGGCATTCCAGATATCCAAACGGATCGAGTTCCTACTTCGATTGCTCGCTAATGCCCGAGATATGTCCAAATGCAATAACTGCATCTCTGATGTCGTTGAAAAGGTTCTTTTTGAGTTTCTTCTTTAGATAGATCATCAGTTGCTCCTGAGCTTGTGAAATTTCGGTAGGAGCTCGTTCAAGCTTGCTTAAATGCATCACTTGCATTCTTGGATTGAGGCGTAGGAAGATTTTGGCTTAACCCACCATGAGCTTTCCCCCTTCTTTACCAGTTCTATCCATCTTTTACGGTAATCATACAATCAAGGATCTTTTTTTCCTTATTGATTTCTAACTTTAGTTCCTTCGCTATCGGTTCACTCCTCACCTCCATAATTGGACATCTCTATAAATGTTGGGATCTGCCCTTTTTACATCTTCTAGGAAGTGTTGAATCTTTGTAGCAAATTCCACCTTTAACACGTTGACGACAACGCGCGTTTTGGGTTTTTGCACCGCGTGGGACCACGGCGATTTTGCAGGCGCCGCCGCCTCACATCAAATCCGTGAATTTTGAGCTTTAAATACCCAAAACTCGGATGCAACAAAATGTTTAGAATGATATTCGATGTGTCAAACTTATCAGAAGGGACAACTGTAAAAAATCGATCGAATTGACGTTTTCTGGCGATGAAGGCAAGTTTCAGTTGCTTTTGCTGCAGTGAACCTCAGAATTATTTTTGACGCGGTTGCTCCACTAAAAACATATGTCTTTGCTATATGTGTGGGTCTGTACTTACTTCTACTGCTCTTTTTTATGACCAAGATTATCAGAATATAAAGGAAACTAGGAATGAACACAATTGGGAATTCGTAGGGCTTAGAAAACCTTCGCTAAAAAGGAGCATATTCAACCATTCAATGAACCTCGCCGTGTCTAGTCATATTATGGTGTAGTCTATGGAATAGATGCAAAAAATTAGAAAAGAAGTAGCGCATGCGCGAAAAAAATAATATTTTGTGTGTGCAGCGCATGCGCTGCACACGGTCCCACACGGTGCTCAAGGTGTGATGCGCATGCGCTGCACAATGTCGTCAACGTGTTAAAGGGTCCTGCCTTGTGATGACCATATCGCGCACACGCTGCGCTTTGGGCGCACGGACTCGATATACGCAATCCCTAATATTTTCGCTCTCTGGCTTGTGCCAATACCGACATCTGAATTTGTGCATTCCGCGTGTGGTTCGTTCCTTCTTTGATGCCATCAAATTTCGCTGTGACCCGCCGCTAACCGTGGGCAGCTTCCGCTCAACTTACGTCACCTGGTTTGCTGCATTGCAAATTCATTCTAAGTTGACATCAGGTGTTTCGACCGAAATGAATCTATTTTTTTGAAAAGGATAGTCTGCTATCAAAAGGCACTTTTTGTTCTGCAACGCTTTAAAATCTCCAAGAAAGAATTGCGAAGATTAAAGGACTTGAAACATAAGTTTATATTGGAGGGAGTAGTCTTGAGAAAAATGATGAAAGGAGACTCTCTGGCGAATACTTTATACTTCTTCCTTTAGGTTCAAAACCTGTCAAACAACGAGATAGTTGGCGAATTCCAATCTACATATATCACTCTCTCCCAAGGCGGTTTCATCGGAGCCGATCTCCAGGTATGACCCAAAGTCTGAACATTTTTAGGTGTTTTTCAGTGTTTTAAGGAAAACAGACCTTTTAAGACCAAACTTCTTCATGAAATCCTCAGCAGAGGCGGCCAACAAAAAACGCTTCTATTGCGAACGATCATATCTGGTGGTCGTAGTAATCGGCCTCAGCTGGTCGCTGAAATCTTCAAACACAGCCTCGAACGTTACGAGCAGGCAGTGGGGTCAAAAATCTCGGAAAGGTATATTTTCTCACAGGGAATTTTCTGATAACGTGTTAATATTTGAAGTATTGTATATGACTTTTTGTTTAGACTATGCAGGGAAGAGTGCACAATACTGGAAGAGTTTTCTCACTCCCTGAAGAAAGCGCACGCCACGGACTTCGCCAGACAGACATTAGGACTTATAGAAAGGATTATCGCAGAGTAAGCCACTTTTCCAATGCAATTTAGGTGCTGAAGTATGTGTGTGCCCCATTTTCAGTGAAAATTCAAGTGTTATCTTGGTCGATGGCGTCACATCGCTCTTGCTGACTCTTGTTCACAGAAACCAAGGTGGGTAATATGTGTTCAGATAACATCTCAAAACAGTTTCTAGGGCGTATTCTGAACGTGCCGGTTTTTCTTATAACTGATGTAATTTTTTGTTAACAGTTTCATAAAGGTTGAGAGATTGTTGGTCACCCTCGATAAACTCACTTTTTGTTTTGATGGGGTACATAATTCTGTCGACTTTTTGAAAAATCGGTCGAAACCCACAACTCTCAAGTCTCTGGAATCATTACTGTTGAGTCGGAATAGCGGATACTGAAGCTTTTTTGAAATCCTTATCTTGTCACCTTCAAAACATAATTTCTTAAATAGGCGATGTTCCAAAATCTCTATATTCAGAATGTCCATGGACCCTCGATCTCAAGATGTTAGGCCGAATTGAGAGTGAATGGTCGAAAATTATCAACTCTTTTGCTGAATTCTCTCTTCGCCACCCATCTCAGTCGTTCCTATGTGGCACATATTCTCTGCTCATTTCTGAGCACTTTCTTGGCGCTGCGGAATCTCTTGATCTGCCAGTACTTCTTTTTGTTATTCGCCATCTTCCTCGCTTGATCTCTGACCAAGGGCAACGTGATGTGCAGGTATTCCATCAAATTTCTTGCTTCTCAAATTTTATGATGTGATGTACTTATTCTCTTTGGATGCGGCTTTCAGAACTTCAATAACCACTATCCTGGTATGGAGGCAATCATCAAGCAATTCGTACATCCAGATAGTGTATCCAAATTAGCTGATCGTGCTGTGAAACTGTTCGCTGAGACTTTAAATGACGTAAGACTTCTTCAGAATCGCGGAAAGGACATTGTTTAGTAGACCACTTTCTAGGGATGCTGGCAGATTTACGTCCAGAGCTTCGTCCTTACTGTGCTTGTAATCGAGTCCACTGGTAATCGACTCGGGGCAGCTTTATTTGAAAGTTTCACCAATCTTCTGCATAGCATCGACGTACACGAAGTGTTAGTTTCTTTTGAAGAAGTTTACAATTTGTGCTAGTCTTCACATTGCTCCTTTTTGAAGGAATCGTTCTCGGAAAACTCTTGCATCCTTCCTAACATGAATACCAGCTGTGTTTTCTAAAGGCGATGTACAAAGTTCTGTAGTCTGATAATCCAGTTGCTGAAGAGAAGCATACCTGAAGCCCTACTTCAAGAACGGTCGAGTAGTTCGGGTGGAAGAGGGGGGGGGGAAGAGGGCGCACGGAAGGAAGCGTCTGGGGCGGCCACGTATGACATCGGTGAGACATTGAAAGAGTCGGGTTGAAGCGTTTGGATTTGAAGAACAGATAGAAAACAATCGATAGAAGAATGCAGTAGAAAGAGAAATGCCATTGCCATAGGTGGAAAAGGCCAAAAGAGTTCCTAGTGAAGGCACTCCGAGAACCAAGTGGAATCGTTCCCGTCGCCAACATTTGTGACAGATGTACGGCGGGAATTTGAACGCGTAACAGTCTTTCAAGTTTTTCGAATTGTTTACGAAAACAAACCCGGTTTTTCTTTGTTTTTTTTTCGTTCTTTTCGTGACTCCCAGGTCTCAAGCTTGATTTGTGGACGAAATGATATAATCATAATTTTTCCGTAGACGATTCCGTCAAGATTTCTGCAGTGTTAATCGGAATGTGTTCTCACTTATGCCCATCAATATCGTTAAATAGAATTTTCAATGAATGACTTCACGTTTCGACCTTTTTGTGTTCTTCGGTCGAATGTTTCGCGATTTTTGCGACGCATTTGCCTATGTTGTGTTTCCATTCTGTAAGAAAAGAGCGAATCGTTCTCACTAGTGAAATTGATCACTTGTTTTCAATATGAAATTGATCAAGCCCCTGTGAATGCGCCGTAACATCGATGAAATCTCCGGCCTCTGATGAATATAAAACCTTTAGAAGTGGAGCCATCCAATGAGGCTTTCTTTCAGTAACCTCGATTAACATACAAGAAAGCGCCAATTGACACCCTATACATTTTTTTATAATTTGGAGCTTTCAGGAAAGATGCGTGCATTGGATTGGAAGCCACGGGAGGCATTGATCGTTTGCACTGTATGCTGTCGATCTTTCGGAATACTACGTTCTGCGATTTGGTGCCATGTTTTGAGGAGCAGTGTCGTCAAGCACTCAAGGAAGATGTGCTTACGAAATTGATCGCTGACAATCACCGCACGCCAAGGAAAAGCGACCTTGCAACATTTCTGAAGGTGTGGCCCCACTTATTTTGTGAACTCACGCAGCTCAGATGAATGAAAAGAAAAATAAGTGAAGAATGCAAGCTTCTTACTTATGGAGAGCAGTGCTATCTTCACACATCGCATTGGAAGTACTTCCTTAACTGAATGAGACTCTTCTCTTTTAAGGGGGAAGATGACTGCTTTGGCGAGCCTGGCAATAATGTGGATGAGTACCTTTTACACCAGCATCTTCGTTACGAAATATCCACACTTTTATTACACGAAGTACAGGAGAAATGGAAAAACAGGTTCGTTAATTTCAATTTTACATTTTAGCCAATATTAATCTCCCGTATCAAGTAAGGGAGAGTCTGAGGACGAGTTTAAGGTAGTCTGTCGCTATTGTACAGTAGGTTTATGATTGCTATTTGATAGCGGATTCAAATATTCTGAGGACGTCGTTTTCTAGCAGCAAGTCGTTGTCGTGTGCTAGGCATGATTTTTACACCCACGGTGAGAAAAAACGCTTTTTTAGCACCTACACTTTCTAGACGTTAAAAGGGAGCGTAGAGACATGTAAAATTTCTTGACGTCCGCGGTCGATTTACCATTGTCTTCACATCTGCTTTTTTTTGGTACTTTTTCGCTGCATAAATAGCGAAGTTTTACTTCGGTATTCTAAAAATGACACAGTCGGAATGCTTTCTTGAAATAGAAATGAACAGCTTCTTTTCAAGGCCCGAAAAGGATGCGATAAATGCAGTGCAAGTCAAATGGGTGGTACGCGCGTCCAGCAGTGGGCAGTATCATCGCGAGATAGCAGAACGTGCTGAACAGGAGCTGAACAAGGTTATTTTCACCTATGCTTGACTTTATTTCAAGAATTACATACGTTATGAGGTGTAGAATTTCATGGCTTATGAACTTCTTCTTTTAATTTATCCGCTTCTTATAAGCATCTGTTCCATTTTAATTCTACAGCTTGGAGCAGACAACGCAGCGGAAGTACGCTTTTGTTACCTGTCAGAAACACTTCTCGCTGGAGCTACAAGTGCTCAACCAGTTCAGAGTTTTGAGAAGAAGTGAGAACTTCCCCATTGTGGTTTTTGCATTTCACTTCGGCACGCTTTCTTTTTCAGACCTCTCCTCGGTATCTTCTGCTCTTTCTATGAAGCAGTTTTATGTAATGAAAAAGTTCGACCTTCGTGGATTGAGGTACAGGTTTTAGCTCAGACCAAACTCTCAAACTGCTCTTTTTTTGTTATGAGAAACGCATTTGGTTTCAGGATCACCTTGTTGTGTTGGGTGATACACTAGATAAATGCGCTTCAGGGGAGTCTGTTCCGGAGCAAACGGCTTTGACTCCAGCGTTTATACAGGTGTTGTCGAATGTGCTTCATAAAGGTGTGTATTTTTCTTAACTGATGGTTTATATGAAACTAAGAAGTTTGGTCAAAAGCCCTATTTTCACCTGTTCCTGGAAATGGTAGTTTCAGAAAACTAGGAAAACCAGAAAATAATCTTCGGAAACTTGCAGAATTCAGCAATTTCCTTAGTCCTATTTCTGTGTCCATCGTCATTACTATCATAACTAACCATTTATTGACTGTGAAAGCACGATAAAGCGCACTGCCACTAAACTGAAAATGTTAGGGATATAAAGATACTTTGTTCAGAATTATATGACAAAAAATATGTTTAAGATTCGTCATCGGAACTGTCGAAGCAGCTACGTTGTCTGCTAGCAGGTCGTCTCCTCTTTTTACCGATCATGGCTTCGATGCTCTCAGACGCTCACCATGCCGCTAATTTAAGGCTTTGCTCCCATCCCTGGCAAGATTTTTAAAAGAGCATGTTAAGTGTTTGTCTGCAATTGTGCGGCGCCAGAATTTCTTTCATTTCTTTTTGGTTTGTCCTCAAACGCATTACTTGCTTATTTCAGGTTGATGCGGAAGTTATGCATTGTGCAATGCGCGATAGTGTTGGAGCAATACTACGACCATCGCTGGTAGCAATCTGGCATTGATTTTCTTTGCTTATCAGCTGTGCATCCAACGGATCGTCTAAGCGCAAAACAGCCTTAACTGGCGGGAGGCTAGGTAAGTCTTCGTTTGGAGGTCCTCCTTTTGCAACCATGCTTTTGATGGAGCACTTTTTAAGCCACGGATGGTCGCAACCGTCTGTCGAGTCTTGTGCCCCTGAAACGTCGAGAAGACGTCTTTCATGAAGTTTTAATGGTCATTTGTAATCATGCTGATTCTGAAACTCATATCGAGGTTAGTTTTTTGTGCCCTCCTTTCATTTTATTTCTGCCCTTTTCTTGATCCTTGCATTTCTTATTCTCCTCTGTATGTAGCTTCTTATAATAGAGAAATGGTCTTTAGGTCCTTCGCCAGTGTGCTGACAATCTGGCATCTTGGATTGAAGTTTCAACGGAAGAGGAAAACGTGATGCGTGGTCAGGCCTTGTTAACGGTGAGTTTTCTTTCTACCTAGGGAGTACCCACTTTCTCATTTTTGGAATGGAGAAGCCAAGAGTGCGGATATGTATAGCGTTGTTCGTGTTCTCAGCAGATTTTGATTGCTCAGAACTTTTGAAAAGTAATCAAACTACGGAAAGCCAACCACGCCCTTTAGTCAGAATTGCTTCAATTTAGCAACGGATTCGGTATTCTTGTTCTTTGCTATTTACATGATTGGACCGATTCGTTGGAGAAAATGAATTGCGGTATTTTATAGAGCGGAAATCGTCTTGTATTTCGACTTATGGTTGTCTCTAATTTGCTTGAGTATTGTTCGGAACTTGGTAAATACAAGGAACCCTATAACAGCGACACATACTTCAGCGACTCGGAAACACTGAAGGTACCGGTAACTTCGTATAACATTTCTTAAAGTAATTTTGATTTTTGTCTGTACAACTTCAGAACATCGTAACACGTCGTGGAGGTCCGACTGCGCTTCCAACTGTGGAACGTCGAATGGATGAGACTCGGTCCAACAGCATTCCACTCTGTACATACGCGGCAACTGAAAAAGGTTTTTCTGTTTTTGAGTCGGGGTCAATTTCGGATGCCTGCTGGAAGCCCCTTAATTTTTAGAGGTTTGTACATCAACATGGTAGCAATTGCCCAGCACAATTAAAATGAACTTGACAAATTAAGGGAGTGTGCAGTGTTTTGTGCATCCCTGTCATCCGCGGACATACGTTTATCGTACAGGTATGTTTGGCTCACCGGTCAGCATGTGTCGACTAATTTTGCGGGCACAATCCAATTATCCCGGCGCAACAGTGTCTTATTTTTCGTTGTTCTTTACATTCGCAGCATTGGAGGTTGTAGTGGCAATGGGGCGCATTTTCCCACGCTATGCCGGGATAAGATCTAGATCAATTTTTTGGCTTGAGTAGCCAAGAATCCCATAGCGTCCGGGCTGGGTAAACTGATATCAAGGCTTGGTCAGTGAGACGCTAAAAAACTGAGTTCAATTGAACTGGCTCTCGAGTGTGTATTTTGTCGAGTGAAGGACGAAACACTGCGCCTTAGGCAGGAATCGCATCTGCCCTTCCTGCTTTCTGAAGACTTGACCTAAGGATTGCACCCCTAGGGGCCGTATCCTATCCTTCTCCCAGGCGGGAACAAAAAACCCCTTCTAATTTTCTTTGCCTTCCAGCAAAGACCGCTCCAACCGAAAGGGCATATTTGTTATTTTATATATGTTAAAAGTGAGCATGTGCGAAAGTAAGGGAACTGGGTTTCTGGAAACAAACAAATTCAAAGGCTTTTTTCTTCCCTGGTCTGGGGAATTGTAGGATACCGTCTCAGAGATTATGTTTCACCGTAATCCAACTTTATCTAGTATCATTAGCTGTTGTATTCGTCTGGTCAACAATTCTTACTCTTAATGGAGTTAAAGCACAGCGAAAGTGGCTTGCAAGATAAAATCGAAAGAAATGCCTTGTGGTCTCATTGAGAATCGAGCTTCAAGAAGAGTTGAAGTTGTTTTTCTGTTGTACTTAATCCTCAACCACATTCAAGCAAGCAAGGCTCGTTTTTCTGTGACTGTGGAGCTGGTGGTTGTGCAGCCTTGAAAGCAACGGTGTACCATAATTCTCCCATTAGTGCTGCACGAGGAAGAACAGCGCCTACTGTGCATACGGTGGGCTCCTTTTCCTGGTTACTAGCTTATTTTATGAAATCAGCGTTACGAATCGTGTTAATTCAGACAGTTGACAGTGGTACTGCTACACCGGTTTCCTTTGAAATAAACCTCGACACTAGTGTGGATTCTTCCGAGTTGGTGGAGCTCCTGGTTCGTTCTTTTATGATATAATCAACTTTGTTTTTCTTTTCACCACATTTTCTACAAAATACATTTCTCACCTGATTACTGATTTATTCCTTTTAGGCATTTCCATACAAACGATATTGTGTAGGTGTTCATAGAACTTTGTTTGGTGGAGAAAGGAGGGTTCCATGTGTTCGTCAATGTTTTACGAAGATTAACTTCTCTTGATTTTTTCGTAATTAGGCAGCGCAAAGTCGTTTTTCCTTTTTGTATTAAATGCTGACTCTTTATTTATTTTAATTTATTATCGTCTATTGTTTTGACAATTGAGTACACGGAATACATATATAAGTTAATGCTTTTAGTTATTCATCTGACTTGTTATTTGTTAACTGCTGTGTTTTTATGCCGCAGCACGGGTTGCAAAAGTTTCGCAAGGATGTCAAATATAAACAACATCTAGCTTCCGTATCCCAGCATTCTTGTAACTTGTAAATGTTGCACTTAAGGACCGCATTCGAGCTGGCATTGAAAGTCGTGTAGAGGTGATTGAGCGAATCGTTCGCGCTTCCTTACATGCTCGTGATTCCCGGTGGTCGCTGGATGAACGTCGCGAAAATGTGCGGCGATCGTTGGCTGATCCTCAGCGACTACATGTGGTTTACGATCAGGCGATAATCGTAATAACTTCGTATAGCATCGCTAAGATTCAAAGAAATATCGCCATCTTTCGTAATTTCAGGAAGACTACGAAGTTTCGGGAAAAACCAAATTGCATTCTGGAGCCAAGAAGACCACCAGAGCCACCAACTGATAGGAATAAGGCCAGAGATATCTGCCAAGTGTTACCTTTCGGTTCGTGATGGTTTATCGATTTTGCGTTAATTTCAAGGAGTTCCTTTTTGAGATGATAAGCTGTTCAGAAAATGGTTGCCATTTGTGGTTTATGCTCGCTGAGCACGCGACGACCTTACAAATATTCCATATGCATCCAGGACAGAGTCTTGCGGATGAGCTTGAGCACATGGTAATGTTTGTTTCGCTAAGTACTTGTTTTCATGGCGTCACTTTATTTAAAGATTTGTCCTAGCTCATTTCCGATATCTTCAGTTCCCATGTAGCACTGTAGTTTTCCATATTATTCGTAGTTTGAGGCTCTCGCGAATTAACCCAGTCCATTAGACTGATCTCTAGCGTCGTCTCCCCGAGTTAAACTTGAAAGTCAACTAAAGAGTGGTCGATTCCGCGCCGTGATCTCTACGTTCCAGGCTCCCTTGATAGAAGTCAAGGCGAAGTCTTGAAGGGGAAGACGTAAAGTTTCCCCATCTTGGAAAGCTCAAGATATACGAAGTTATACGATTCCACTATCAAAAGGTTGTCAAGGTCGAATATGGGCAATCTTGTAGTTTTTTTTTGCATTGCTGTTCTTCAGCGAATCGATTCCGAGCCCGTTGGTTTCGCTGGTCGTCTCACAGTTCTTGTCGTGATGACAAGGTAGCAGTGGCTGGACCTAGCGATATTCTAACTCTTCGTATGAGCAAGGATGGGGAGATCATTGACCGCATGGTCATCAAGCTCACCGAACTCACAACGACCCACAGCAACCCAATAGTAAAGGTGAGAAGTTGTTTTCAGAAATTTCTGTTCCTTTTTTTGTCACTTGAGACATTCCATGACCCTTTGACTTATTAATTTCTGTGAAGGTATTATGGGCACCAAATCGCCCAGCGCTCTTGGCAGTGGCTACCGTTCAACTTGTACGGATATATGATCTTGCTCTCGATGCTGATAATTTTGTGTTGAGGAGTTGGTACTTCCAGTAGGTAAGCTTTAAGCATTGTGAACACTTTTTTTTGGAAGATGTGACAAGTTCTGGAGCAATCACGCGATGTATGCGTATGAATGTCTTGTAACATGTGGTCGACAACTACTTGAACTCGATCCTCCAAAGCGCCTCAATCCGATGCTCTCTTCTGAGCTCTTTCGCCTAATCAGCAGCTCATGACCATTGTGATCTCACACATTCAAACTTTTGCCACATTGAGTTGGCTCACCCACCGCGAATCCCCTCTATCAACTTTACTTCTAGGGTTTTTCCCCTTCCTATTAGGAGTTTGGAGCCGAGCCTTGCACCGCTCTCTAATCATCTATGCTTCCCGCCATCCGTGGCAGGACCATAAGAAAGTCAAGTGATTCGCGGATTTCTGGCGGTCTGCTTGGCATTTTTCTTGGCGGTGCTGCTGTTTTATCAGAGAAAACTTTCAAATTCTATGGAATCAAGTTGAGACCTAGGTAGATTGATAGAGCTGGTATGCGATTATAAGCTGTGACACTAGAGTTACAAAGTAGGTCAGATGTCTCAAGCAAGTTGTGAGCAATCTAAATTCATCCAGTGGAGCATTAGTATTCGACTGCTCACATTTTTTTTTTGCAAATTCAGTTCCTATATTCGTGATCAGCATTCCAAACTGTCGGTTTAAAAAGGTCTCCCTTCGGAAATTTGCATTTGGAACCTTTTTAGGTACGTTGCAGTCCTCCTGCACAGGTCAGGTCCCCAAAAAATGAGGCACCACTCATTTGCTCGAAGCAAGCTTAAGACTAACCAGGAAGGTCTTTCAGGGCGTGCCAAGCTTTTTGAAAACGGTCTCTTGCATGATATAGGGGCACATGCGAGAACCACAGAACATGGTTTCATTTTGAACAAATTTTTGCATTTCGAGTTGACGTTCCAAAATTCGCGCAAAATGGAGTTAGCATGAATAATTAGTACCATATTCATGATTAGGACCGTCAGTAACCCTACAAAAAGACTTTGACTTAAAAATTGGTGTAAGAGGTGTGACACCAAGCAGCCCCACTGTGGTGTCACACCTTTTTCACCAGTTTTTAATCAAAGTCTATTTGTAAGGGTTACTGACGGTCCTAATCATGAATATGGTACTAATTATTCATGCTAACTCCATTTTGCGCGAATTTTGGAACGTCAACTCGAAATGCAAAAATTTGTCACCACGAGGAATCGAACTAGGGACCCCCTTTTCTGGTATTCAGAGGGCCGTTCAGGAAAAATGAACCATGGTTCTGTGGTTCCCGCATCTGCCCCTATATCATGCAAAAGACCGTTTTCAAAAAGCTTGTCACGCCCTGAAAGACCTTCCTGGTAGCCTATGCCAAACCCAAGCTTAACCTTAGGCTTTAATGATCATGCTGCTCTGGTGACCTGATCTCAGTAGGAGAACTGAACGTCCCCCATTTTAGTAGGCTGCCTTTGGCGTGTATTTTTTGCTTTCAGTAGAGAGTAAGTCTCTGTTTTCAGGCAACGTGGAGGACATAGAACTTATCCATAGTTACGAAGCTGACGAAATGTGGCTGATGGTGTTGAGCACATCAGGGCATTTGTATGAACACAGGGTATCCATTTATTTTCTGCTGAATCGTTTTATTACTTTTTAGATGATCTATTGTGAAATTAAATGAGCTTGTTCTAGCTAACTGCAAGAAATGCGGATAACACATCGTTCTTCTTGACGAATACCGTTACACTTCCACCAAACGCAACAGATTTTGGGAGCTGGAGTGTATGTTGTTTCGATACTTCTCAAAGATTAGTTTATTATCTCGCTCAGAATGGAATTTCAGATCGGTACATTATTCATCTGTCTCTGAACTTCTGTTTCTTTCACTGGAAAAAGGCACCTGGTTTGCTCCACTAGAAAAAGGAGATCTCGGAAGAGAAGATCTGGCTTTGAAACTGGACAAGGTATCCATCTTTGCGAGCAAGCTTCTCTAAAGAAATGAAAGACATAATCGAGAGGCTTCAGACTGGAAATGACGACTCCTGTCCACTGCTGGCAGGAATCAAGTGGTGTAATGGCATGCTTTTCATATCCTATCGCATCATCGCTGGTGTTCATCTACCCTACGCTGGAGCAGATTCTCATTCAGGTGTGGTGTCAAATGCTGTGCACCACAGGCCTTGAATGTCATATTTAAGCTCATGTCTCCTCAACTCTCTTTCAAATGCTACCACCGTTTCGTTATAGAGAGTGCAACTGAAACGATCAGCATTTACACATGCTCTTTTCACTGGATCATCTGCAGATACGATCTACTCGATGCCGCTTTTCTATGATTCCCCGACAAATTTGGTCTACTCGGCGTTAGTTATACTATTTTTTCCGTAGTATTACCATTAACCAGCTTCTCTAGATTCCGTTAAGATTTCCCTTCTTTTGTGGCTTCTGTAGAAGTTGCTCATGAGGCTAACATCACGTCGCATCGGAATAGTTTACAGGAGATGGTCTACCCTACCCGATCTATGGATAGAGAATATGCCAAGTGAGATGTGTGCTCAAGCAGAAAAGGAGAAGGAAGAACCGGAGGCCGAATTGCAAGATAGCGACTTAGTAACGGTACTGATCCAATGGTGTGTATTGTTCTAGTTCTTGACGTTTTTCTTGCAGTTGTTCGAACGTTGTGAACCCGTTGATCGAGTTGAGGTGTCCTGCCCTGATTTGGCCATTTTCTATGATGTTCATGATCTCAATGTACGGCTCAGCTCAGTTGGATCAATGCCCGTCACGGCAATACAGGTGCTGTTTATCTTGAGTCAGTTATTCCAACCTCACGACAATGTTTTTTTTTTTTCAGAAAGAGCAATTTGCTCTAACTATGCGTGTTGGGGACCCGAATATAATAGTTCGCGCTGTTCGGGTTGAATTACCGGCTGAACGAGGTCGAGGGCCATCCGAAGGGTCAGTTGAATAAGTCCGGATTTTATTTACAAGCGCAAGTGTTGATAGTTTTTAAGGTTTCTATTGGCGATAAGACGTATCCTCTAACAATGACGACCGACCTGGCACGATTTTTCGACATTCGATTTACTCGGACGCAATCGCTGGAACTGTATGTGTTTACTTTTTTTGCAGTGTTGTTAGATTCGAACCACTAGCACCATTAGTTTTTTTATTAGGTTCAATTTTTAGGGATCATAGAAACATCACTTTGACGTTTTCTGGAAGATCTCGATCACAAGTAGGGATGACTGTAGTTTCTGTACGGCTATACGGCATGTCCAAGCGAGAGTTTGGATCTCCTCGTTCACATTTAATTGCAAGGATGCCTTTATCGCTGCCGGACAAGTTCATATTGAACGTGATATCGAATGCTGATACTACGTTGAACACGAGAAATCTGATTGTAAAGGTGAGCGATTTCTTTAGCGCTACTCATATTCTTCACATGCATGTTCCCTCTTGAGATGGAGGCGAAGATTGTGCGATTTTGCAAGGGATGAACATTTTTTGGCTTCATGTGAAGAGAGCACTTGACGGGTAAGTGTGCTGTATGCACTTGTGATGAACAGTGCCTCAAAGCGACCGCTTTTGCCCTGATAGTCTCACTTACTGAGGCAGAAATCGTGTTTTTCTTCAAGGACCGCGATTGGATGGTGAAAACAGCATGTCGTTTGATCAGTCCTCGCTTATGCCATCGAGAACTTGTCGAGGCTGCCAATCGACTGCTAAGAGTG